TAAATTATGCATAACAAACAACATTGAATGCTTTCGCAATGTTCTTAAAAATGAATAAAATTAATAGTAAAATAGAGAGAGAGAGAGAGAGAGAGTATCAATCAATGCAGAACTTTATGTTGTTTTTGCATATGCAAGCACTGTGCACGCATTGTGACGTGCAAAAGAAATTCCCAAGTATCCGCCAGCGGAGTTATTCTGCCCTACATCAATGGTGATACAAAGTGTGTTAAGTTCATGCGGTATCTGCCCAAGGGATATTTTTAATTTATATCACATTTTAACACATCTCGGCAGAGCTTGGTGAAAAACAATATTTTGGCTTACAAAATGAATGTGGAAAATTTGGATCAAGTCTCCGCATGACAACCACATCGATTTCTTACTATCCTCCTGATGAGAATGGATGCTTAGCCTAAATTAAGGCAACATTAAATCTATTTTTCGAATCGCTCAGCCCAGAAAGGTTCCCGTGAAAAATATGGCAACAAGGCTTTAGTGTTTGATATTTTGCGACGAAAACAGTTAGGTGCGGTGTTTAAAATTCAACTTGCACCGACTAACACACCTTAACTGCTCTTAGTTTTTAGCACCTGAAAATACCTATTATATATATATATATATATATATATATAAGTGTCTATTATAATATCTCTGTTTTGCAACAAAGTTATCCCTCCCCGCGCCTGGCTCTCACAAATTTGTTTCTCTCATTTGTATCGGGTGAAGTTCAAAAATTGTCAAGAAGTCAATTGATTCAATGTGTCTTAGCACTCTTACCTTTCTCTTCAAGGCTGGGTCAAGTCTTATGTTTATACATTTTCCAATTAAATGTCGCTTTTACAGCACGAAATGTCACTCCTGAGAATGTATTCTCGTTCCCGATGCGTCATTTCATTCATCCGCCCAGAATTATTTGCTGTGCGAAACGCATTTCTCGCAATTCTGCAGAAATTGGTCCTAACCTCAACAATAACGTATTAATTATTTCGAAACATTTTCAAGAACTCTCTGAACGATTTTCGCAATGAGACTGAAAGCGCTTAAACGAGGAATGATCATTGCAAATGAAAAGGTAGAGTGACTAGTGGGTATGTGACCATCCTATTACACTGAATTTTTTTAAACTCGTTGCTCTTTGAAGTGTTAGTCTATCTCTCCTTCTCCCCAATCTGCAGCTGTGGACAAATTCTCACTATAAAGGACATTCTCTGCAACTGCCTTAACTTTTGCTTGGCTAGAAGTATTGCATTTGGAACGATTAACCCTTCGGACATTCTAAAATCAGCTTCAGAATCGACTATCAATTCTATATATTACTTTATTAATATTACTATGCTCATTATCTAATGTACATTTATTTAAATTAGAGACGATAGCCTGCGTAGCTAGTGCTCAATGTCTTTTTTTTTAGTCTAAGAATTTATTTCCTTAGTCTAAAATTATAATAATAATAATAATAATAACAATAATAATAATAATAGTCTATCTCAACAAATTTCTCATTAGTAAAAGTAGTTTTTTTTTTTTGTATAGATATATATATATATATATATATAGAGTAACATATGTTTACACCTTCTGAATACCATATTGAAATTCAGTTAAAAAATAGTTCAACTTTTATTGAAAACTCTAATGCAAGTGGCATTCATGCATTCGTCCCAAGAAACCGGTCGAAAATCTGGTTTTTGTTATTGATTTACAATTTTTTTTATACTAAAGGAGGCTTGAAGTAAATATTATTATGAACATTGAAATGGTAGAACTTTGTAGAATTTTTCATTTCCTTCGATCCATTGACATATATTCTCTCTCCTACACAGTGAAATATTGCAATTATCAAACAATCAAATAATAAACGCCCCTTGAGCTCGTCAGCCATGTGTTTGCATATTTTTCGATTCGCGCATACCTGCGAAATTTCGTAAAAGCATTGAACAGCTCAAGTGGTTTCTTTTCTCATCACTGTTTCGAAGAGAAAGTCTTTGTACAGCATACACGATACTTTGGATGTAAACTCATAAATATTTATTTTTTTATGTTACGAATGTTATGAAACATTGCAACCATATGCGAACAAAGAGAAAATCTATCAGCAGAAAAGAATGAAAATCGTAACCCAATTGATAAATTTTTGCTTTTGGCTCATAAGAGTTTAGTTGACTTTGATTTTTGACGAAAACTAATCTACTTTCCATTTGCATGTTAGCGCTACAATGCCGGAGCGAGTCAAATTGGCTCATTTATGATTTTATTGCTATACATTTTGGTAAAGTTAAAGTAATTTTCTTTTATTCTATTATTAATTTGGCCAATGAAATAAATCGTAAGACTAAAGCAATTTAGAATTGTATACAAGTAGGAATCCTTTCCTCTACGCAGCCCTCAATTTCACAAGTCCATATGTAACCTATTCCTACACCTCTAATTGATCGTTTTCCATGCATTGAAGCGGGCTTGCCAGGCTTGTTATAAGCCTAGTGTAAACATAACAAGCGATAACCAATTGTTCTCAACTCAAGCCAGATGCCCATTTACTCGGTCCATGGCGATATTTAATTAGTTTTTAGATAAATTTGGCATCAAATTCTGCCAAGTTGTAGATTTTAGAAGCAAGCGTAAGCAGATCGCGTATTCTCTTGAGCAAATTTGCTGAGTTAGCTGAATTCTGGATGAAATATTATCACAAACAATTTTCTTACAAGTCTTGCACTGGCGAAAAGGTTATTCGTTAAAAAAACCTGATTCGATTCGAACAGTACGAGCAAAGAGAAAGGAATTGCCTATGATTGCAAAAGCCAAGAATAACGACAACACGACACGGTTTTCTAGAAACCTATTACTGACCTCAAAGCATTGAAGTGTAAAAGTTAAAAATATGTAACATTCTATGTTAACACTAAGTAGTTATTAGGAATTGTCATTTCCTAAAATTGTCTGTTCTGTTTTCCCCACATATTCTCTCTGTATTAACTCAATATACATCTTCTGTATACTATATGTAAAATCTCTCGCTCCTTGAGCAAATAAAGTACACACTCTTTGATCAAATGGGTGCGAAAATGTAAGACAAAAGCAAGCTCTCGGAGACGGCGATTTCACGCTTTCCATAAAGTGCTCGAGCTAGCAGCATTGACATTGGAGCATTGGTTCTATATGAAGAGATAGAAGACATACGAAATGGATAAGCATATGACTGAATAGTAACTAAAACGTTCGCTGGCGTGAACAGAAGATTTCACGAGCAGCTGCGGTCGACCTTGAGCACAAATTGAATTAATAGATTTCTTTAGCTCTAACAGAATGTTTCTCTAGCATCTTTTTAGATGGCTTTATTATAATTGATTGTTTGCAATTGTATGCGCTCTGGCAAAAAATGACGCCGTCAACTGATTAATTGATTGATTTTTATTTGTTCGAGATTTTCTCTTCGTTACTTCGAAATTACGGTTTATTGTTTTAATATCATTTCATTTTATTCATATATCGAGGACTATTTACAGCACCATCATAATAGCTTTTGCAGTTCACAACCGTACCAGGGCGCCCATAAATCCAACGCTATGCGAAAGATTTAAAACTTTTAAATGCAATTAAGTACAACGGAGAGAAGAATTGCTGCCAATTAGCGTAAAGCAATTAATTAATGCATCAATTCGAAGACTCTGCTCTGTTCCTCCCGTTCATTTTAAACAATTAGGTTTAAGTATAACAGTTAAGTACAACGATGCATTAAAGGCATCTTTATTGTATTCACTCTTATGCAACAGTCTTCAAACAATTTAAACCGCTTAAGAAAATGAAAAACAAAAAAAATAATAATAATAATAATAATAATAAAAGTCTCCTACATTAAAACCGCTTAGTATCTTAGTGTTGGGCTTGGGTAAGCTTTAGCAAATCCTTCGACAACATAATCGTTCATTTTACCTGTGCAATCAGTTTCATTTAAATTTGATTGAAACTGTACACGAGTCAATGACATGCGAATCTTTTGTACGCTATATATATTCGATGCGTATACGAAGCGCGGAAATACATTTAAATTGATAAATACTATATTTTATTTTTTTTATAATAATTAAAATAAAAAAAATGTTAAATAATTAAAGGAAAGTTTTCGTTCCAGTCGGCCAGCAGAAGGAGACATTGTCAACAAGAAAGTCACTTCATAGCTACTCAGGTGACAAAAAGTCCCAAAGTGTATAGAAGTGTACAACTTTGTCAATTATTATTAGATAGCAATATATTATATAAATTAAATTAATTATTAAAAGTGAAACTTTGTGATTTTGTTTAAATGCAATAAATTTCTAACTTTTCGCATTTTTATATTCTACATCACTTGCGCTACAGAGTATAATGACTTTGTGCATAAAAACTTGAGATATAGACTTAATCTGTATTGCATTGACCAAATCGATTCAGAATCATCTTGCCGATCGGATATCTTCTCACGTTTAATTCCCTGTTTTGTGCTTCATTTTCCTGCCGGACTTTTTAAACATGGTTTGACGAAACGAGATACAATGACTTTAATCGCCTCATTTTTATGACGGCTCTCCATGAACACGCCGTTCGTTATATGCAATTTTTAAAATGTCTTAACAAAAAATGTTAAATAACGATGTTTTCGGTTTTATTATAAAATATGTGGAATGGATTGACCAAATTTTTGAAGACCTACCTATATAAGCCTCGAATTCTCTCGAAAAGTAAGCAAAATGACAGAATGACAAAAACGTCTAATTTATATAGAATCAGTTAGTCAGTGTATAGTGTATAAAAATGTAGTTTGTTTCCCACCCAATCACTCACTGTTTAAGTAAGGATTCTCATGAGAAGTATGGCTTTGTACAAGGAACAAGGAAACAAGGTATAATTTGTTGTTATTTTATTATGAAAAGAAATAAAGAATTCGTTAGAGTAAGTGATGTAAAATCTTCAAGGATTGATTTTGCGCCGGTATAATGTTTTTATTTGTTTCTTAATTGCAGTTAAATACTTGTAAATTGCGTTTTCCAACTGGTTTTGTAGCATAAGGGATTTGCATCGTACACATTAACGTGTGAGCGCGAAAGATTAGCAGCAAGAGTTGCGGGGATGAAAATCTACAATAACAAGGATTTGATTTTTAAATATGCAGGTAAGCAACAGTTAAAACGAAAATGAAATATAAATAAACATGAAAGAGGAGAACGGCAACGATTATAAATGCACTGGTCGTCAACGTCAAATGTGACGGAAATTGCATTTTTAACTTAAACACAAACAATGCAAGACAAAAATCAATATTAAATATATTTGTAATGATTTTACCCAACTACTACCCAAAGTCTATATATTAACCGTTAATGGATCGTGAACATGTTTCATGTTTACTTACCACTACATCCCAAATTATTGCATATGCAATGATTTTTGCCGTCATAGACGCGTCATAAATGAAAATGCAATACCGTTTATAAAGCAGCGTGAGTCCCTTAAGGGTCACAAGCAATATTTCAACATTTACAACGTTTCGATATACTCTATTAAATGCGAAAGCGTCAAACCGCGTTTAACTACAAACATTTGCGGGCAACTTGATAAAGTTCAAGCGGTAACACAAATGCATAACTATTTCACTTTGCTTCATTCGAATCATTTAAAAGCGATATCGAATCGACGGCGTACAATAAAAGCAGAAAATTATTTCACAATATTTTATAATTGGATAAAAGAGCGAAGCGTGAACATGCGACATGTTGTTAAATGTTATATCATCCTTTAAGTAATCGTTCATACATAGGTGTGTTAATAGGTGCTGTTGAACATATGTCTCTATGCAGCCAATTCTTTAATTTGCCAAGTGTGAAAAAAAGCAATTGAAAGTATAGCATTAGCCTGAGGAGAGGAAGGAATCTTCAATGTAAACCATCAAAACCATTATCAAAATTATCAAAGCCGTAGACTACTTTAGTAACTGCAAATGTCTCGAAGACATATGAACGATTTTGACCTCTCGAAAATAGCCAAAGAAATACTCAAAGATACCCAGCAATGACTTGCGTAAGGTTTCACATGTTTGTCTTTTGACCGAACTCATACGATTGCAAAAACCAAGATCTTAAAGAAATTGCTCTTTTTTGATCAAAGCAAAAGTCGATTTCGCGAGTTGTCATTCGGCGGTTTGCCCCAATTAATGCCTCTATTTTGTCATTATCAACTACTACTGGTCTTCCAGAATGCGATCCAATCGGTCAGTGTAGTCGAAATACTCCAACTTTCAATCCATAGCAGTTAAAAATTGATTGCAAAGATTAACGCCTACAAAACATGGACAGACGTTCAATTACCCCATTTACGTTTTAGAAACCACCAAGTGAGTTGTTTTTGTTGTTGTTATTGGTACTGTATTAAGCTTCGTTTCAAAGCGAGTATAATTTTCTGCAATATCTTACACATTGATCCGTTAGGTAGCTCTTGAGCTCGTGGTCCAACACCTTTTACGGATTGTAAGCTAAAGACTCAGCGTTTTGCTATAACCAGGAATACATATGCATACATCCTCTACCAAGACCATAAAAAATATTTAATCCTTAAAAGTGTTCGCGTTCGCAGCGTATGTGTACAGTACATATACTTATGTTTCAAAACGAGCGCAGCAACATGGGCCTAACCACTGCGTTCACGTTAGCAATTCTCCCCTATTTTGCCGAATAATTATGCCCACAGAGTTATTAAGATCTTCGTTTCCTTCGTAAACATGCAAAAAAAAAAAAAAAATGCACTGTGCACTGTGTAATGCGCTTGTCTTTCGATAATCGCAGTTTAGATGAAGAGCAGGAAAAAGGGCTAGGTTTTCTTTCTCCCAGATATCTTCCTCAAATATGTGTCTAAACTACGTTTAAACACTTTATGTGTGTCTTTCTTCCTCTTCGTTTTTATTTATTTATTT